CGGAAATTTTGCAGTTGAGGTGTTTTCAGCCAGAACCTTGGGATTTTAAGGTCGTGAAACGCTTTCTGGTAACATTAGTATTCATTGAGCAAATGAATTATTCTTTCCAGGTTTGTTCCTGTTCATCACTCCGCGTTACGTCATATCCCAAAAGTCGTTTCCACGGCTATATGGAAAAAGCGGCTTCGCATTCTGTCGTGTGATATGGTCAACCTACGTTCTCTTTTGCTTTGGAAAAGCGTCGAAYGGCACAATCATGTGYTTGGCATTCGAAAGATGGTACTCTATCATCAAACCAATCAGATATAAGACAGCTTTTGGAAATCGACGTCTCCTTGGTTACATTGCCCTTATATGGATAACAAGCGCAACCACGGAGAGCCTGGGACTCTTTATCACSAAACTTGAAAACGGCAAATGCATGTGGGCGGCGCCTCCTTACAGCGAGAATGGTCAGCGGATATTCCTTGTTGTGCATGTACTTATTACATTCTACATCCCGTCTACTGTTACCTGGGTTACATTTGCGCACCTTTGGTATCACCTTACGCATGCGCAGATACATGCTCACAACCGTGACATCAGGTACAAGAAACGCTTAGTGCGCATGTGCGCCTTGGCAGCAYTTTTTCTAACCATCTGTTGGTTTCCTTCCGAGACATTTTGGGTTTTGTATAAATTCGACACTCTCAAGTTGCCCGAGATATGGTACTGGTTGTTCAATCTGTTTGCCATGTTCAATTCATGCCTGAATCCTTGGCTGTACTGCCTCGCAAACAAGCAATATCGACAAGATTTTCAAAAGGCGCTCTTTTGTTGGATGAGACCCACTAGAATTCGTCCCGAAACTCTTAATGAAAGCCCGTCATCCTCCAGGGCTTCAACGAAAAAGGACGAAACAGAACAGGAAATGACCGATAAACGATGAAAAAATTGCACAATGACGTCATTATTGTACTAAAACTACCAACAACAGCAATGAAAGATATCACTTAGACTAGTGTTGGCAAGGAAACGTTTCTTGTGGTATAAGCACTAGTTGTGTTTAGCTGTCTCTTATTTGTGCAAGCTATAGAATTAATAAGGATATTAGGTTAAGAAGATATATTCTTTGTTAGCACTCATAATTTAATRTTTTTCATTAGAATATATCCTGAATAATAGCGATATAAATAAAAAGACACGTTCATGGAAAACTTAAAACACCAAAATGAACAATGTCCAAGTCACTATGAACATTAAARTAATGTTAAAAACTTTGTAAGTATTTTTGTGTATTTTCTCCAAATATTGGATGCAAACTAGTACAGTTCTCAGGCAACTCTGCCAGCTGTCACGCAATAACTTAAATACAGTCGAGAGCAGCCTAAAACGATAGTGAACATTGGTTTAAATATTCCAAGATTTTTGCCATGTGGAGTCACATGACCCGTGCAATAGCTATTTCATAAACTATACCTAATCGTGTACGATTTGAATATTACTGACACTTTGACTGTAGTTTTTTCGCGGGTTTAATGTATTCACTCTATAGATAATGCTTATTACTCAATAAATATCCATGCACTTGTTTGTCCTGTACAGTAGTTATACACACTTCCCTTCAATAATAAAACTCAGATCTTTGCATACACATTGGGATGTTTTAAACTAAACGAGCGCTCGCTATATGTTCTTTTCGAGCGCGCCATACAATGTCCGTTATYGTCTAGCACGAGTAGACGTTTTAAGAGAGCAAAGTTTAGCTGGGGGTTCAACTGAGAGACAGAAAAGAAATCTCTGTTTTCGATTATCATTAATAGCCTGGGAGTTTTCTGATGTTTCGACTGGCCATCTCTTCTTCTTCAAGCTGTTTTCTGAATTGGCAAACTTTTTCTGTAAGAATAAAACGGAAAGTTTCGATTTGTTCTCGACACTGAAACTGAAGTCTTTGGGTAATTATCATCATGAGAATCTTGACGACATCTACCATCACAACCATGACGTCATTCATCATCACAACCATGACGTCATTCATCATAACAATCATGACGTCATTAAAAGTCATCATCAGCATCATAATGACGTCATTATTATTAATAACCAATGATGTCATCTCCGCCGTGTATCTTAATTGCCATTACCTCGTAACTCTGTAAATTTCGTGATCTTTTGCGCTAGAATTTCATCCAACCGCTTAACGTATTCTAAGGAAATCAAAAGATCAACGTTATCTCACTTTAAGACACATAAAATGTTCAATGGATCCATAGAGACATCAACTCACCTTCGACATCGTAATCAACATCGGAGTCTATTCTTTCGACAAGTTTTTGTTCTTCATCAAGCAACGTTCTTGCTTCCTGTTAGATATAATTCAGTGTTGTTCAAACAAACTAACTACTTAACTATCAAATCCACGAGTTGTAACGCTGGTGCTATTGAACCGGACAGTATAATTCTCCTTTTTGTCATTTACCTCGATGCTATTCTTGTGTTCATCGACTAGGTTATCTTCAATGTCGTTTAACTGCGTGACTGCCTCGTGGAATGTGTATAATTCTTGAGACTGGTCCCCAGAACCCTGTACAGATAGAAATATATACGAATATTTTACCAGACATCTACATACATGAAAGATATACTTTCGACCTCCTTTCGGTCAGATGGAGTATGGGATTGATACAAACTGAAGCAATGTTATTGCGTTGAGTTACTTTGTGGACAAGCATCATGTTTCACTCTGATAAATTTYCGTCCTCCAAAGTTATATTATAGAATATCCGCCATCTTGAAATTTTTATCAATACCATGATGCACTTCGCCGACATATCATGACGTCACAAGGGAAGGGTTATTGAGTGTTTACGGTTGAATGAGAAAGGAGGCCATACTTACGCTATGAGTACAAAGCATAGCTAAGTCCTGGTTATTGACTATTTTATCTCCCATTGGTGAAAGAGCGCCGTTYTTGCCTTCATCTAGAACTGAATCACCAGCGTCACCTGGCGCTGGTCGACGGCTCTTGCTCTCAGGACCAAGCTCTTTAACTCTGAAATAAAAATATCATTTATTGGACTCAAGCTAGGATTGGAAAATATCATTAATAAAACGTCTTGTATGGTCAGCGTTCCGAATGTGAGAGGAGGCCTTCGTTCGGTTCAGGGACCTACACGTGTGCTTTCTGCTCAAAACTTGCAGCTTTTTTTGTGATTGCAARATTCGCGGCTACTACACTCCTCGTCTTGATAAGTATTCGTATGCGGTRTGGTAAGCATAGCCCTTGAAATGGCAACTTTGACGGTATTATACAGGTATTAGGGCGTGGATTGTCGCCACGGTTACTGCCTGGTTGCTAGGTTGAATTTGACTAACCTGTCTGCATATCGTAGGGTGTTCAGGGTGTGTTCACAGCAACTCATGCCAGGAGAAACCATAGCAATCTACAACACAACAAACCAATGTTACTATTCTAAAATTTACTATTTCATTAATTGAATTTTTCATATACTAAAAGGTTTCACTTACCATACAAGTCTTAGACTTCTCACCAATGAAGGAGTCTCTTAGAACCTATGGTCAAAAACCTCCAGTTATCTTATTGAGTTTTTAACGTTAAATAGTGAAAATTGTGAACTAGATCTCGGTAATCGTAAGGGGAGAAGAGCTATAAGAGAGTTAGATAATCATACCTGGGTTAGTTTACTAGCACGGAACGGTAAATGAGCTCCTTTACGACCAAGCGCTCGTATACACTCCTAAAGAAAACGAAAAAGTCAAACTCTACTCTTATAGATGGAGAGAGCA